CTTTCTGTTTCTTCATTCCTTCCATGAAACAGTTGTTGAATGCCCACCGTATGCCTAGCGCCGTGCTAGGGGCTGTAGAAGCCACAGAAAGAGCTAGGTTTGAAGACTGGGTGGGCAGGACTTAGTTGAGCAGAAGGAAAGACGGAGGGCTTTCCAGGCAGGGGGGACAAACATAAGGGCCTCGAGTCCAGGAACAGATGTGTTGTGCCAGTAAGGAACAGGCTGGTTACAGTAGAACCTGAGTGTCGGGAAGCAGAACCATGTTGTGGGGGTGTGAGTAGGTCAGGGAGGGCCTTAACGGCCCAGTCAAGGAGTAGAGACTCGGTATAATATGTGGTGGGGGGACTGCAGCATTTTTTTTTCAGAGGAGGGGGTTGAGGTGGTCATCAGATAAGGAGTCATGAGGGTCTAGATCAGAACACAACAGCAGGAGGAGAGAGAGGGAGAAAGAAGGGCCAAGGAGTGTTGATGGACTGAACCTGGGGGTTGGAGGGGACAGAGAGGAGCGAGAATGGCAGGTTTAGAGCTTCGGAGTTTGGGCGAGTGCTGGTGGTATCCGCAGACCCACGGGAGCGGAAGCCATGATTTTGGGTAGAGGATGAGTTTGATTTTTTGGTTATAAAGAGAGAGGCTGTCAGTGGAGCTTTCTTGTCGGTAGAGATGCAGAACCATCGAGCAGGCTGGGCTGCTGGCAATGAAGGGAGAGCTGTTCCCATGGTAGGACAGCTGCAAGAAGTGAGTGTGGGTGGGGTGGCCCCTGAGGTCTCCCAAAGAGCCATGGGAGGTGGTGGCCGCAGACTTCACTGGAGATATTTGTGTTAGGAAGGTGGAAAGAGAGGTAAAAGTTGGCTCATACCAAGTGGGCTGGATCTCCACTAAGGGGCAGCCCTAGGGGGTCCTCCGCACCCCCCAGTGGCCTACACAGCCCCTAGCTAGCATCCACCCTCAGCTGCCTCGGGCAGAAGGGACGGTCAGGACTCTAGGCATAACGGCCCTGTGCTCGTCTGACGGAGCTGGGCACCGCCTGGCTCCTGCTGAATTAACTGCTTTGTTTCTTCCTCCTCTCCACTGTCCCAGCTGGTTTGCCTTGTGTGGCCCCTTTAACCAAACTTTAACACATTAATCGGTGTTCTTCAAGCTACCTGTGTCCTCCTAGCCTGGTAGGGGGTTTCCAGGGATGGGGGCTCTTTTCCCTCAAAAGGCTGCGGTTGAAGCAGGAGCTGCCCCCAGGCTGGTGCGCTGCGGGCTGGAGAGCCGTGCAGTGCGTCAGCTCTAGGCCTCCCTTGGGGTAGTCACTGACGTGCCAGGGACACACCTTTCTCAGACTGCAGCCCTAATGGGCTCCCTTTCTGCCTAACGGTTTCCCCGGACTCTGCTGCATTTAACGAGCTCTTGGTTTCAGATAGACTGGTGTTTCATGGTGAGGCCACTTGCTAACTGGAACAGGCCAACTAAGACAGCTGGTCCCTTTTAATAGAAAGACCTCTGGGCTCTAGGTGATGGCCGGTTAATACTTTGCAGACTGTTGTTGATTTCGCCGCCTCCTCTCCTTGCTTTTTTGGCCTAATGATTCCATTTGCTGTTTTTGCTTAGCTTATCAAGCAGCCGGTTGTCTCTCCCCAGCTCTGGAAGGTAAATGCACATTGCATTACATTTCTGACTGCTTTTTCTCTTGGGTATGGACACTGAGGGGCCTTTGGGTGACTGCTTGTGCACTAACCAGGCTGCATGGGGTGAGGGGAGGGCTGGAGGGTGGGTGGCGGAGAGTGTGAGAGGTACTCACGTGAGCATGGGTCTCACAGGGGCCACACATGCTTGCATGGACCATTTGAAAGGGGTGCAGGGACCCAGAAACAGGCAAGGGTTCTGAGATGCCGGCACTGTATCTCTGTGCACCTGGGAGAGGCATCATGGGACTGGAACAGGGAGCCACCGGTCATGTGACCCACTGCCTCATCCTAGGTTTTCATGGTTTCTGTAACCACATATCTAGGTTTGACACCTCATTGTCTATCTCCTAACTGTGGCTACTGCCTTCATTTTTTTCCCTTCAGTCCCTTAAGTTCTACCACCTCACACTCTGAATTTCCCTTTTCTTTGGCTCCTCTCCTCCCCTGCAGACTGTGAACTCTGTCAGGTCAGGGAACACTGTGTTGGTGTCTTCCTGCATTAGCTTGTTCTCTGATTCTGCCGCAGAGCCAAGGCAGGACCTGAGCAGGCCACAGGTGGGGTTTGCCCATTGAATGACTGTCCTCTTGCCCCCTGAGCTGGGGATAGCTCTTTACTCCTGACTGAACCAACTATTATAATAAAAATTGGGAGCATTTCCTGGCTATTCCCACCACCTGGACCTCATCTCAGACTGATAGATTTGGGGAGAGTTGGCTATAATTTCTTTACACAGAGAAGTATTTTTAAGTAGCTAACTGGTCTCAGTAGCTAATAATGTCTACACCTACCACATAAGTTTCCTTTGGTGGAGAGGACAGTGAGGAACCCTGTTCTAGATGGAAGAAAGGGTATTACAACTAGTTCAAAGAGGAGCATGGTCACTGCTGAGAGAGAGACGATCTTGGAAGTTTGTTTCAAGCGAGGTAAAATAACCAAACTGAAGGGCAAGCTTAGGGTCCTTTGAACATTATGTAAACTGCTGATTCTGGTGTTCTCCAGAGAACACATGATTAGGCTGTGATAGGCTTATGAGGTCACAGAGTTGGAAGGATTTGGAGGTGTCAGGGTGGGAACAGACCACTTCCAGATGTGTGGACTTCCTGGCTTTCCAGGGGACTGGAGGCAAGCAGCACGCTGACTCCACCCCACGTCGGAGTGGTTAGGAGGATGGGGACCAGAAGCACGTGACATGCAGCGGAACAGGACCGTGTCTGCAGTTACTGCCCCTGACGTGCACCCCAGACCCATTCCCCAGAGGGCCTCATCCACACATGCCTTTCAGCAGTTACTATGATTTTCCCATTTAAACATTTTTTTTTTAGAATATAGCTTAAGACCTAGTGTGGAAAGTTTGAGAAGATAAGTGTTCTTTCCTGTCCAAAAAAAAGTAGTGAAATAAAATAACTACCTGTTGTTGAATATTGAGCATGAGCACTTGTCTCTGCAAATTTTCTTGAAGCTTGATTTTCATGTTTTCTTATTTACCCAGAAGTTGAAATTATTTTCTTAGACTTGCTCAAGCAGCTTTATCCTTAAGAGCCTAAGCTGAATATTAGGTCCAGGCTCACGTTCATGAGTAAAGTAGGATTCAAACCAAGTAGGGAGGGCATAATTAGGAATGTTTTGAATTAGTTGCAAAATCGTAGAAATCTGATTGCTTTTGGCATGGCAGTTTCCTCTAGAAACTTTGGCTGGGATTTAATATTCCCCAAAGTCAGAAATTGCTGTTAGTATGAGAGCAGCAGGAAATGTTTTCAGATGTTTTATTTCCTGAGTGTCAGGGAGTTGATAGTCTGGGTCCTGAAGGACCCTCTGCTTCTCAGCAGGTTAAAGGGAAAGGAAAAGACACTGACTGAAGGAGACGAGTTGTAGGTAAGAGGGTTGCAGGGAGTGTTTGTCCCCTCAGGTGTTCAGTTTGGGGAGAGGTCAGGTTCCCCTTTCTAGGTAGTCTGGGAGAGGACACCCGTCATACCCAAAGGCCCAGACATCTGCATTCCTGTAGAGGAGCCATGGCTATACCCGTCAGTCTAGAAGTCTTACTTGATTCCAGATGCTCTTCTTGGGATGCAGCCTTTCTCTTCAAACTCAAGTCCAGAACGATATCCATGGAGATGACAAATTGAATGTGGTAGGCATAGGGTTGTAGATCCCACAGATTCTCACCCTGCCCACTCCTGGTGGAGAGATCACTGGCAGACACACACTGCCTGTGGGTGACCACCCCCTGCTCCGCGAGGCACAGAGAAAGGCAGCTTTGAATGATTTGTCTTTCATCACAGTTCTTACTGCTTCTCTTCACTTTACCCCTCACAGTCCTCCCTGCTGCTCGTAATAGGGTATGTGAATTTGGAGGGGGAGGAGGGCTGGGCACAGCTTGTGCACCATACAACCTGGCTATGTGGTTACGCTTCACGCCTAGGGATGCCTTGAATCTCTGCTGGCCCATGAAAAGGTTTGGCACGGTGGTTTGCTTCCTGTGCCCAGGAAGGGGAGAACTATAAATGCTGAGCAGTGTTGGTGAGTCTGTGCTGGACTCAGTGAGCCCACAAATGCCTCTGAATTCTGGGAGATGGACCTTCACAGGGAGCCTAAAGTCCCATTTGTTGTTTAGCAGTCCTGCTGGTTGGTCCTGGAGCTGCCAGCCATGTGTTCACCTGAGCATGTGGTCTCCAGGGATGGAGCAGGCAGCCATGGCTGGCTTCCCACGGCAGGTCCATAGCCCTGTTTAGGGTCAGAATTCACTTGAGTCTCTCTTTTCCAGTACCCCTAGGATCTTAGGTCTAGACCCCGCCATTGGCTGGCTTATTCTTTGTCTGCTATGGGTCTGTGCTCGCAAATGCAGGATTTTTTCCTGAGCCCAAGCTTTAGGATAGGCTCTTGCGCTCTTAGGACTTACGTGTCCTTAAGGGTTGGCCAGCTTTTCCCTCTTTGGCATGAGTGGAGGCTCTGCTATGCTGGGGGCTCCCTCCCTGAGGCTGGGTCTGTCCATGCACGAACTTTCCTGGAGGTGAAAGGTGGAGGGTGAAGCAAGGCCCCTAATAAGGATGGGATGGGATGCCAGGCTGGTGTCTGGCATGGTCAGGAGTCTGGCCTGTGGTCAGAAGCCTTGCTATTGTAATGGATCTGGGTCAAGATTCCATTCAGCCCCTTGGTACCATGGCTGCTCCCACCTGGCCAAGATGCCTAGGCTTCCTTGAAGAAAGACTTAGTCAAGTGCTGGCCATGCCCTGGGATGACAGATGGACATGGTAAGATCTAAGCTGCCTTGGGCAGCGCAGGCTGTGGTATATTGGGGAAGGCTGCTCTGAATAGTTCTTTGCCTTTCCTAGAAGCACCTTCTGCTCCATCATTGCTCAGCTAACAGAGGAGACCCAGCCAGTATTCGAGACCACACTCAAGTCCCAGGCTGTGTCCGAGGACAGCGACGTCAAGTTCACCTGTATCATCACAGGTAATGAGGCCATCTCCATGTTCCACAGAGCAAGGTCCAAGGGGGCTGTGGGATGGGCATGGAGGGAGATTGACTGTGTGCACAAAACTGTGCAAGTTGACATTTGTTTTCTTAGTTTTCTCTCTAGTTTAATCACCCTGTGTGAGCTGGGGTCCCTTTCACCTCCCATTCTGGAGCCATATACACACCCTGCCCTTCTTCAGAGCCTGTCTTCAATAAAGGTTCCTCACCTTCAGGCATATACTTACACGACGGATGAATCTTAGTTCCAAGAAAAATTCAGTTGAATTTTTGAAGCCATCTCCCCCAAAATTCCTATTTGAGAGTTGAGTAGTTTGAGGCTTGGGAGTCTTCAGCCTAGAGACTGATGTACAGTGATTCTGACTGCAGACCCTGGAGACAGACTGCCTGGCTTGGAATGCTGGCTTGTCCCCTTTTCAGTTATGTGGTACTGAGTAGGACATAACCTCTCAGTACCTCATCTGTAAAGTGGGGAATGAACATAGTATGAATGTCATAGGGTTGCTGTGAAACTGAATGCATTAAATACCTGCAAAGCATTTGGAATAGTACCTGTCATACAGTAAGTACCATATAAATGTTAGAAATGAAGGCCATTATTACTTGTATTTCACTGAGCTCCATGGTAGAATTTGGAGCCACAGGTTGGTAGAGTAGGAAGCAAAGTGATGTTCCTTGGAAGGGGCGGTAGAGGAGTGAGAGACTGGAAAGCTGGACCCAGGCATTGCCCCTCCCTCAGAACTCCCAGCGGAGTCTCCCACTGTACCAACCTGACCCACCTCAGGTCCTGCAATGGGTGCCTACCCCTCCCGCCTGTGCAGCCAGTAGTTCAAGGGTTCTAGGTCAAGTTTTCCTCTACAAGCCCATATTTTATATCGGGCGACTGGTGGTTTCTAGCTGTGAGTTGTCCTGATTCTGGGGGGGCCTTGTCTGCTCTAGCCAGCTAAACCGCTTCTCTGGGATTAGGTCCCCCTGGGCAGTCCTCATCCTTACCCAGAACCCTCTGAGTTCCAGTCTGAGAACCCCATCTATTCCAGGGGGCACAGAGATGTGCCTATATCCCTTACCTTTGTACAGCATAACACATTTTGCATAACACTGTTTCCGTTGTCATTGAATTCTTACAAAACCCAGTGAAGTAAGTGCTATTATTAGTCAAATTTTACAGAGAAGGGAACTGGAATAGTTCAGGTGACTTGCCAGAGCCCACAGAGCTGGTGAGGAGGAGATACAGCTTTTGCCCTGCAGTCTGATGCTGTGTGCTTATGCCTGCGTCTACCTTCCTGTGGCACTGACGGTTAAATGCGGCTCTTTCACCACGCCATGCTTTTGCATATGCTATTTCCCCTATATAGAAAATCCTTAATCCTTCTTTTTAAAGAAAATTAAATTTTATTTTACCAAAATAAAACTAACACATGCACATCGTTTAAGACATCAAATTATACTAAAAGGTAATTTTATCAGAATACAGCAGTTCACCCCTCCCACCAACTTATCTTCCTAGAAGCAACTGTTTCAGCCCTTAGCTGCTGCTGCTTCTGGTTTATCTACATCTCCATAGTACTGAGTAATATGTGAGCACTGCTAGCTTCCGAATCTTCAGGTTTAGATGCTCTCTAGTCTTCCTGTTACAGTAGGTGGGGAATTAGCTCTTTAACATAATTTCCTCTGCTTCACTTATTTTCTCAATATAGTTATATCATGATTTTTGCCTATGTTAATACTTACTGTTTACCTTTTGATGCCTGTGCAATATTACTTGTAACTGACATTGTAGTGTACTATGATGTATTTCTTCTGTTTTTCTAAAGTTAGTACTCTAGTTTTTCATTTAATTAGTTTTTGGTATTGCTGATTTTTCTTACACATTCTAATAGCCTTTTTTTAAAAGTTGAGTTTAGAGAGGGAAGGAGGGAGGGAGGGAGAGAGACATTGATGTGAGAAAGATACTACAGGGATTGGTTGCCTTCTGAATGCATCCCAATCGGAGATGATCCCACAACCTAGGTATGTGCCCTGACTGGGAATTGAATCTGCCACCTTCTGGGGCACGAGACAACACTCAACCAACTGAGCCACACTGGCCAGGGCCTAATAGCCTTTTAGTACAATTTTTTGCTGATCCTTGCTGTCAGTTACTTCTTTGGAGCCATCCCTCTTGTTGATCTCTATTCTTCTGTCTGAACTGGTGGACTCTTAGGCCTGACCCACAGCTATTCTCCTGGGTCTTCCCTTTGCCTTCCTCCTGGGTCGATTCCGTGTCCCCAAATCTCACGCCTCCCTTTTTCTCGGTTTCCTGTATAGCTTTGTTGAATGACATCCTTCCATCGCTTAAGCGGGTCCTAAAGGTGATACAATAGCAGGAGGCATTGTGGTGACCAGCTCTCAACGTATGTCTCCTCTGAGTCTTTCTGCTCCAGTATGATTTTGCTGCTTTCTGCATCCAGTCCATGTTGACATCCTGGGACCTCACGGCACTGTCACCCTGTAGGCTCCCTTTGTTTCTCTCCTGTGATGGATTTCCTGTGTTTTGTATTTCACGTTTCTTTTTCTTTCTTTTTTTCTTTCACATTTTTCTTTCTTGATTACATTTTTGTTTTGGTAGCTTCCTAGGGAGAGTCTGTGGGAAGTAGATGTTAGACAGCTTGTGTCTGAAAATGTCTCTTTCTCTGCTTTACTCTTGATAGTTTGGCTGGATATAGAAGTTGAGGTTAAAAATAATTTTCCTTCAGAATTTCGAAGAGATTGTTCCATTGCCTTCTCGCTCCTCATGTTGCTGTTTGGAGCAGGAGGAGAGTTTGGTTCCTAATTCTTTGCATGAGACAATTTTTCCCCTTCTCTGGAAGCTTGTAAGAATGTTCTGCTATTTCATAATGGTGTATCTTGATACGGGTCTCTCTTCATCCTGGGGCATGCTTGGGCACTTTCAGTCTGGAAACTGAATGCCTTCAGTTCTGGGAAACTTGAGATTATTTTGATGTTGATCTTCCTTCGTCTCCTCTGTTCTTTCTCTCTGGAGCGTCTGTCATGTGGACGTCTGCTCCCAGGGACTCATTCTCTTATTTTCCGATCCTTTCTTCCCCTTCCGTCTGTTTGTCTTTCTGCTCTGCTTTCTGGGACGTTTCCTCAGTGTTATCTTTCAACTCTCCTAATGAATTTTTAATCTCTAAGATCTTTTTGAATCCTTTTCGGCAGCATCCTGTTCTTTTCGAGAATGTATTATCTTCTCTTTACTCTCTGAGATGACCAATGATAGTTTCTATAGCTTGTGTTTCTTCCAGTTGGCTTTTCTTCTATTTGTTTTAGTCCATAATCTTCTATTTACAAGCTTTCCTTAGATATCTATTTACCAGCTGGACGAATTTGGGTAGGAGCCTTAATTTCATGGGCCTGGATTTCCTCTTCCTCAAATTGGGAATTAATAACATTCTTCACAGGATTTTTGTGAGGATTAGATGAGATAATACATGGAAAATGTTCAGCTCAGTGTTTGGCACATAGTAAGCCATCAGTAAATGTTAGCATTTGTTTTCACAGGATTGTCATGAGAGCCAAATGAAACACTGTATTTGAAAGCTCTTTGAAAACTCGAGATTTACATTCATTATGACTCTTCTCTTGAATCTGAGCTTCTCCAAACTGGGCATGGTTGTTGGGAGGAGGCTGCAAGTTCCAAGTTGGGTTCCAGGCTCAGGCCTGCTGGCTGTGAGCCAGAGGTAGCAGGGTGACAGAAAAAAGAAAGACCACAGGCTCCAGTGCTGCTGGAGGCTCTCCTGGCCAGGGCTGGGCGTGGGTGGTTCGGACGTGCAAGTGTGTGTATCAGGGAGTGAAGGACCTCTCCTGCTTTTGTGTGTTTTAGAATGCAATTCATATTATCCAGGGAACAAGGCAATGTTTTCTCCCCAAATAAAGCTGTTTCCAAAACCCACTTTTGCTGGGGCCCGAGGCTGTCAGGGCCCTGTTTTGCGAGGAGGCACCATGGGCGATGTAGGGCTTTGGCCCCAGTCTTGAGGCTATGGGGTTCAGTCAGTGTCAACTCCTTCCCTATTCCTGCCCCCTCGCTGCAGCCTGGCTGGCCTCAGATGCCCTGATGCCGAAGCCCTACTGGGCAGGTCATGGGGTAGCGAGGCTCTGAGCCGGGCCCTTGTAGGGATGAGATCATCCTACAGGATGGTGAGGGCCCCCGTGCTGGTCCTGGCCATACACGCAGTGATGTAACCAGGGGCTTTAGCTCACAGTGGAAACATGGGGTTCACTTTACAGTCAGGGCTGCCCAGAGTATGTTCCTGGCCGACCTGGCTGCAGCCTTGCCTCTTGCTCCCTGCTCTGTACACAGTTTCCCAGCGTGCCCTGTGCTTCCACCCCCAACTCTCCTGTTGTGTTCCTTTGTCAGGCATGCCCTTCCCGTCACCTCTGGTTTGTTTGTTCACTCATTCCCTCACTTACTCATATACTCACTCATCCAGCAGGTTTTATTAAGTAACTACTATGTACCAGGCCCTGTCTAGGTGGTGGAGATATAGCAGTAAGGAAGGTAGGACTCCTGCCCCCTTGGGACATAAGTCTGGGAGGGGAGCAGACAAGGAAACAGTTATAGTGCTATGAAGGGGGAGTGCAGGCACTGGTCCACCCTTCAAGGCCAGTTCAACAGCTACCCCTGCCATGAAGCCTTTCTTGGTTCCCCAGCCAGGGTGCTTGCTCCCTTCTCTCAGGGAGCACTCATTGCGTTGCTTCATTCATTCATCTATAGACGTTTAATGAGTGTTGATTCCACACTAGACACTATTCTAGAAACTGGTGGCACAACAGTGACTAACACTGATAAGTCCTGCAACTGATATTTCTACAGGCAGTTGGAGAGGATGGACACAAACTAAGAAGTTTGTAGTATAAGATATCGGGTAGCCATGCATTCTGTGAATAAAGAGAAACGTGGTGAGAGGGTTAGGAAGGGCAGGGAGACAGGCTTCTCTGAGGAGGTGCCGCGAAGGCGAACAAGGAATTGCAGTGTGATGTTCACATGGTGTGTGAGAAGGGAGCCCACAGGATCCTGTGGCTGGGGTGCAGTGGGCAAAGCAGAGTTGTAGGAGTGAGGCCAGTTGCTAATGGGGCCTCCAGATCAGGAGGCCTTAATGAAATGGGAGCTGTTGGGGTGTTTTGAAAGAAGGAGCGCCATGGCCTGATTGGAGGAGAAATGAAGACAGCGAGTACAGACAAGGCCTTCTAATTTTTTTACGGTAAAGGAGGGAACAGAGAAACGGGGGGCAGGAGCTAGAAGAGGATGGGGATCCAATGAAGTTCATTTTAAAGAAAGGGGACAGTGCAGCAGGCTTGTGTGCTGATGGCAGTGTAAAGTAGAGAGGACAAGTTTGGTGATGCAGGGGAGAACAGGACCAGTTATTGGAGAGATGTCCCAGATGAGACAAGAGGAGGTGCGGTCCAACGTCAGCAGCTTTAGCTAGGTGTGTGGGCAGTTTATCCATAGCCAGTAGGGAAGGGAGAGCAGGTGTGACAAATGCAGGGATGTGGGCACCTGTCTCATCTATTTTGCTGTGCAGTAGGTTCCCTGGGAGCAGACACCCTGTCTGTCCAGCTTCTCTGTCTTCGTACCCTCGCTTGGCAGTCAGCACACAATATATATATTTGAGGGGATGTATGTTAGGAGTCTTAGATTTCTAACAAGTGTTACAAATCAGCTGGAGTTAGCTGAATTCATTGGTGAGGCTAAACAGGCTTTTTATGACATTGACAGGAGTGCAGCCCAGCCCAGGCAAGGAACAGAGCCAGCATTTGGAAGGATGTTGGGATTCTCTCTAGTTCCCAGCTCTTATTCTGTCCTGAACATCAACTTCATTTTTCCATCTCGCTGTAGACCAGCTTTGTCTGCTTCTCAGTCCATGTGGCAGAACATGGTTGTACCCCTTTGAAGTTATATTTCTAGACAGCAAGGGTAGGCTCTCTCTTGGTCCTAATTCCCCAATCCTAGATCAATGATTTGGATTAGATTAGCTTACTGGGTATCTGTTACTGGACCAGTCAGCTGTGTGGCCAGGGAGGCAGGGAACATGCCACTCCAACAGTTGGAATTTCTCCTTGTGGGTAGAGCTGGGAGTCCCCAGAGAGGGGGCATTAGGAAGACACTTCAGCCCTCCTTATAGCATGAATGTGAGGGAGGGAGGGAGGTGATGGTGGATGAATGGATGTTTTAGCCATGTCGTCAANTCCTCCTTATAGCATGAATGTGAGGGAGGGAGGTGATGGTGGATGAATGGATGTTTTAGCCATGTCGTCAAATAATAGCTCAGGAACCTGGAATGAAGGAAGGAGGGCTCTTGGCAATGGTGCTGGTGTTGAGGTGCTGGGGGTGACCTCTGAGGACAGAGCTGTCATTACAGTCAAGGATGGGAATAGGCCACTGGAGAAAGGAAGCTCATTACTACCAGCCAAGGCTTTCTAGAAACTTCTTCCTTCTCTTCTTACCAGGAAGCTGGGAAATTTCTCCTCCATATTTGCCTTCCAGCTGCTGAAGAGGAGCAGTTTTCCTTTGACAGGGCCTAGCTTCTAAAAATAAGCCGAGCCATATGATAGCCCTGCTTTCCCAGCAAGCCTGGGCAGGTGGGACAGTCAGTCTCTTCAGGTGGTGTGGGGGAGCCATGGCATCCTGTTCTCTCCTCTCACTCTTTGGAACTAATCTTCCTGCAACCCAGTCTCCTGTTTCCTTCTTAGGATACCCAGAGCCAGAGGTGACCTGGTACAAGGATGACACGGAGCTGGACCGCTACTGTGGCTTGCCAAAATATGAGATCACACACCAGGGCAATCGCCACACACTGCAGCTCTACAGGTAAGGGAGAGGGGCCTTCTCTGCCCTGTCTGTCCTCTGAGGGTTCTCTGGCCCAAGCCCACCCTCAGCAATAGAGTCAGCTGGATGAAGATGCCCAGGTAGGTCTCAGGATGGAGACCGGGGTTCTGTTGTTGAGTTGAACCACCTGGTGAACCGTGTCCGCTGCCAGTGTCTGGGATCTCCTAAGGCCAGGGTGGGAGTGTTTTTGACAGCCAGAGAGCTGAGTGCAACCAGAGGAGGTCCTGACCCTCAGAAACATTTTCCATGAGGTCTGCTGCCAAAAAAAGCTCCTGTGTCATCCTTCACAAGGGCCGTGTGGGTCACTTGCTTCTGAAGGGAACTCTCCTGTGCCCCAAGTCTAATCCCCCTGGAACAGCATGATCTTGACCAGCTTCCACATTCTTGCTAGCCTCAGTTTCCTCAACTGTAATGAAGAGTGATGGATGTGGTGCTGTCTGAGCTAGGCGTAGCCCTCGGGGTGGACTTGTAGGGACTGGGACCGCATGCTCAACTCTGAGAGGCTCTGGCTGTGGGGAGTGAGGGCCTCTCACCTCCCAGGGGGAAGAGTTGGCATCCAATGCTCCTGCCTCTAGGTGTCAAGAAGAAGATGCTGCCATCTACCAGGCCTCTGCCCGGAACACCAAGGGCATCGTGTCCTGCTCAGGGGTTCTAGAGGTGGGCACCATGACTGAGTACAAGATCCACCAGCGCTGGTTCGCCAAGCTGAAGAGCAAGGCTGCGGCAAAGATGCGTGAGATTGAGCAGAGCTGGAAGCACGGGAAGGAGGTGGCGGGAGAGACCGACACCTTGCGCAAGCTCAGCCCTGACCGCTTCCAGAGAAAGAGGCGGCTGAGTGGGGCTGAGCTGCCAGTCCCCTCGGCCCCCACCAGGGAGGCTGAGGACAGGACCTCAGCAGCTTGGCAGGAGGGGAAGACTGAGCCTGGTCAGCACCCAGGTTTGAGCCTGATCGACAGTTTTGCCCCTGGAGAGGTGACCGCCAACGGGGATGCTGCCCCTGAGAGTGGGGAGGACAGAGACCGTGGCCTGTTAATACACATCCGTGAGGCCATGGAGCTGGAGCCTCAGAGAGCCCCCCAAAAGGAGTCTGGGGCCAAGAAGAAAAAGAAAGACGAACCTAAGCCAGGCCTGCGGAAGCCAGAGTCAGAGAAGGCAGCTCGAGGCCACTGTTCTGAAAACTGTGTCCCCAGTTCAGACAAGCCTGACTCCTGTGGGACACAGGGGCCCATGGATGCAGAGAAAATTCAGACCTGGCCCAGAGGCAGGGCTGCGCAGGGGCCTGGGCCCACAGGAGTAGACAGCACCAGGAAACCAGCCTCAGCCGTGGGCTCTCCAGACCAGGCCCAGAGTGCCCCAGCCCCTGTCCCAGCCCCAGACCAGGAAGTGTATTTCTCCCTGAAGGACATGTATCTGGAGAGCACCCGGGCAGTTGGGCCTTGGGGGGATGAGGGGTGCCACACACAAAGTGGCAGAGAACCTGGAGAGAGGCCCTCAGGGAAGGGGCCCAGCGAGGGGAAAGGTGAGAAGGGGCCTGTTGCCCCTGGCCAGCCCATGCCCTCAGCCCCCCAGCCAACTAGGCCTTTCAACAGGAAGAGATTTGCCCCTCCGAAGCCCAAAGAAGAGCCCACCACGAACAGCAAGCCCGATTCTTCCCTGAGCCAGACTCCAGAACCCGGAGCCCAGAGCTTAGGAAAGGCTCCACCCCAGGCTTCTGCCCAGGTGCCTACACCCCCTGCCCGGCAGAGACACAGCACACGGGACAGCCCCTTGCAGGGGCCAGCAGGCCATAGGACTCCAGGGGAGGTAAGTGGGTGCTGGGTGCCTGGGGGTCGCTCTGGGAAGCTGACTTCATGGAAACTCTTGCTGCAGCGGTTCGGCAGCCAGTGAACAGTGGGATATTTATAGAAGGGGTGGGGTGGGGATGGAGTGCCAACCTGGAGCAGGGGACCATAGGCGTGGCCCTTGCCCCAGCCAATCTCCAGATGCCAGGCATGTGGCCAACACAGCCTGACTGTGACCCTCTGCTCTGACAGTGTGGTAGTTCGCAGCCAAGGGGCCTGTGCCCCAGAGGGAGCTGGAGGAAGACAACATTCTGTATTGAGGAAGAAGCCAGGGGAGAGTTTTCTGTGGGCTCTCCTAAGACAGCAGTTTCATGGGGGACAGGAGCAGGAGTGTGCTGTCGTGTGCAGCATATCTCAGCCTGGGTGCTCATTAGAAGATTTTAAAATACCAGATATCCAGGAAATTCTGGTTTAACCTGGGTTTTTATCTAAGACTTTGGAGTCGGTGTACCTGTGTGCAAATCTGACTATCCTTAGCATTGTATGATCTTGAGCAAGTTGTAACGTCAGGATAATAATAAAACCTACTTCACAGGGCTGTTGCAAGAATTAGAGTGCTTAACACAGGGCTTGGTGCATGTTAAGAACTAAATAAATGGTGGTAGGTATAAGAGAGTACTATGGTGGAAGACAGAGGTAGACTGCTTTACCTGGGAACAGGAGTGTCATCGCTTTCTGGGGACTAGGTAGCCAGCCAACGGAGAAAAGGTGATGTTTTGTGTGGAGACTGGTTGGGAGTCTCTACTCTTCAAAGAAAGAGGCAGAAGGATGAGAGTATTAAGGAATTTTATGGGGTTGGGGGAAAGGGTGGGTGGGCTGGGATTGAGAGGATGGACAGAGCAGAAGGAGTTTGTCCAGCTTCAAGGGTGAACAGGGGAATTGGTTTCATTTCAGTGGTGCTGAGGCTAGTCTGTGGACAGTCATTCACAGGGCGCTGGAGTGGGGTGAACTTCAAACCAGTGTCTCTGGAATCCGTTTATGACGCTCATGCTTGGTCTCAGGAGATTTTAGCAGCTGATTTGTTGAGTTCTGATGGCCCAGATGAGGCTGTTTCATGTACTTGACAGGGCACAGGCTGGGCAGCAGGAC